TCCAGTTCCGCTCCCCGCTCGCCCAGCTCCGCCCTGGCCATGTCCGGCGGCCGACTGCGCTCCTCAGAGTGTTGGGCTGGTCGCCGGCAAGGTAGGGTAGGGCATGGGACACGAGCTGGCTCACAGGACACAAGGCCCCGCCGTCTCCCATGCCCTACTCTTCCTCGTCGAAGACCAGAACCCGAACGGTGCCGGTGGACGTCAGATTGATGATGGATCCATCCGGGGACGAGCCGCAGACGTCCACCATGACGTGGTTGCGGCACCCGAACTCATGCGCCATACAGGGCGCCGGAGAATGTGACTCTGCCTCGCCGACATCCGCCGCCGCGAGGGCTGCCGCCGCCTCCCGCACCCGATGCCTTGCACGGCGAGCATGTCGTGCCATGGCCTCGTCAAACGAGACCCATGGTGCGTCCCGATGCTCGGCGCGTCACCAAAGGGGTTGCGCGTCCGCCAGCGCATTCGGATGCCAGACGGACTGCACGGCCTCTGGCGAGGCAGCTATGGCCGGCCTAGCGCAGGATCAATGCCCCATTTGGGCAGAAGCAATGGATTCCTGACGAATGAAGTCCGAGCGCAGCCGTCCACGGGCCTCCTCCCGGGCGTGGCGGAGCGCAAGCCAGACGGCCATCTCCTCCTCAGGGCCGCGCGGGATGAGCTCAGGGTCGACGGATCTAGAGATGAAGGACTCGGATCCGCTGCCCGCCATGCCGGAGAGGACCGGAAGGAGCCAAAGACGAGCTTTGGATGGTGGAGTGGAGGGGAGTGAAGTGGCTAGAGTTTGGTCCGGCGAGTGGATGGGGAGGATTTTATGTGGGGTCAGGTGGACCAGCATCGGCCGGATCTGACGTGGCGGACATGCCCAGGCACACCCAGGCGCCCCATATTCGCTTCACATTTGGGCTGGATATGGAGGGTGTCGGTCAACCCGAGCGTTTGAGGGCCGTTTGAGAGGCCCGTCTGGGTCAAACAATCATGACCGGATGGCTTGCCAGGATGTTTGAGACGGTTTGAGGGGCCGTTGTAGATGCTCTAAAGCCCCGCCATCCCGTCGCTGTGGCTGATTGCATGCTGCCGTCAACATTAATTTTGATAGCTTCATGCCCAGGGGCAGCCCATGTGTTCTCCATCACCGTTCGGTTCAGATTCTTTTCCTTCAGAAAAGTGCAGTCTCGCGACTGTGCGCTAATTCTCTTCATAACTGAGATCGTATTTCGCATTGGCTCTCCTGCATTTCTCTTATTTCGTGTGTCCCACCACACCCAGATCATTGCGATGCAATCACTTTTCTGTTTGTCCGGGAGGGCCAATATCTTAGTCACCACCTCTTTTGAGTCACAACACAGTAGCAGTTCTTGGCGTGTCCTTTCTAGATTCATTTCTCTCCACACCTGTTTCACATTCTTGCATCTCAGAAATGTATGAGCACCATCCTCATCAAGCCGCAAACAAACTGGGCATCTCGTATCAGGTTCCATCCCTTTCCTGGCAATATTCAGTAGATGAGGCAAACTGTTGTGAGCTAGCCGCCATAGAAAATGTTTCATTTTTGGCGGGCAGCAACACTTCCAGATTTCACTCCATTTGAACTTTTCAATTTGATCACTCGCCTCTCCTACCTGTCTTTTAGCTTGCTGCTCTTGCTTCTCACGGAGCATGTGGTACGCAGATTTTACTGAGAAACGTCCCTTGTCATCAAAATGCCAGGCCCAAATATCCTCGAAATCCTCCAACAGTGGGATGGCAAGGATAGTACGTGCATCTTGCTGCCAGAAGATTTCATTCACCAGTTCGCTGTCCCATGAACCCGTTACCGGGTTGATCAGTTCAGCCACATGCTGCAGGATCGTATGACCTCTTGGGGTAACCCGTCCAGAGATCAGTGTTCTTGCCGTTACCAATTCGTTTGACCAGCCCCTCTTTCATTACCTCCACTCCCCGTAAAATGCTTCGCCATGCATAAGAAATACCCGCCTTCTGTTGAGCTTGTAAGATGTCACATTGTGGGTAGTAACGCGCCTTTAGGACGCGCGCACACAAGGACTCCGGGGCCGTTAGCAGGTGCCATCCCTGCTTGGCTAGCATGGCCATATTGAAAGTATGCAATTCCTTGTACCCCAACCCACCCTTATCCTCGGATTTTGTCAGTTTCCCAACTCAACCAGTGGGTTTTTGCTTCATTATCCTGTTGGGACCACCAGAATCTACAAATCATACTGTTTAACTCTTCACAAAAACTTTTTGTTAGATCAAAACACATCATGGCAAAAGTGGGAATCGCCTGTGCACAAGCTTTCACCAGAATTTCTTTCCCGGCCTTTCACAAAAACTTTTCTTTCCATCCTTGAAGCTTCTTCCAAATTCTGTCCTTAATGTACGCAAATGTGCGTTTTTTTGACTTACCCACATGCACAGGCAGTCCCAAGTAGCGGTAAGCTCTTCCTTCCTTATTAACTCCTAGTGTTGCCATCATAGCTCTCCTTGCTGGTTCTCTTGTATTCCTACTGAAGGTAATGGATGATTTATCTGTATTGATGGTTTGCCCAGAACAATCCTCATAAAGGTTTAAAATATTCTGCATATGATGTGGACTCTCAGGGGTTACTTTCAGTAGAATCAACGAGTCATCTGCGAACAGTAGGTGATTGAAACTCGGGGCTTGACTGCATATCTGAACACCTTCCAAACTTCCAGTGCTCTCCGCATGATTCAACAGGCTTGAGAAAGCTTCCATACAGAATAAAAAGAGATAGGGAGAGATGGGATCCCCCTGCCTTAATCCTCTCTCCGGGATGACTTCATCAGTAAGCTTTCCATTAAACCGGGATTTATACTTCACTGCCTGACAACATTTCATAATCAATTGGATCCATGCTTCCACAAAACCCATTCTTCTCATCATAGCTTCCAGAAAGGGCCATTCGACTCTATCATAGGCTTTACTCATATCAAGCTTCAATGCCGCAATGCCTTCCTTACCATTCTTCTTCTTATGCATGTAATCTGTTACCTCATAGGCTAAAAGAATATTATCGGTAATTAAGCGACCTGGCACAAATGCACTCTGATTTGGTGCAATAATCTCTGGAAGAATCACCTTCAACCTATTGGCAAGCACTTTCGAGATCAACTTATAGAGCACATTGCACAAGCTTATTGGACGCAATTCCTTCATACTTTCCGGATTTTTTACTTTTGGTATCAGCACTACACATGTGTCATTCCCTTTTTCTGGCATAGGAGCACCATCAAGGACTTGCAAGACTTCTGCTGTCACTTTTGGACCAACCAACGACCAATATTTCTTGTAGAAAATCGCTGGCATCCCATCTGGTCCGGGGGCTTTGATGTTACCAATACTATCAAGTGCATCCTTCACTTCGGCTTCGGTGAAAGGGCGTGTGAGCTGTTCGTTCATTGCCGGTGTGACCTGAGGAACGACACGCTCTAGAAGATCAATTCATTCGGTGACCTGCACATGAAGAAAACAAATTGATGAAATACTGAGTCACCACCGCCGCCATCTCCTCCTCACTCTCCACCACTCTTCCTCCTTCCACTTTCAACTTCTTGATTTTATTTATTCTCCTCCTTTCTGATGCATAGGTTTGGAAAAATTTCGTATTCCGATCTCCCTTCTGCAACCAGTAAACATGCGCTCTTTGGCGCCAATAATCATCCCCAAGTTCAAGTTGCCCAAATAGTATCCGACTTGTTTCCAAAAAGAAGAGCTCCCTCTCTAATTTCATTTAACTGAAACAGTGTACATAGACAGAAAAAAAACATAAGCGGGTGATACTATATACGACATCAAACATTTTTGTACCATGAAGTCTAAACGAGCCCCTATGCTGAGAGCAGCACAAAAAAAAAACAATGAAAGACCTTCCACCTGACCTCAAGACTGCTATCATATCACATCAAAAGGACACTATTTCAAGCAACATAGTTCAGTAAGGGCATCTTCATCTTTCATCTTCAGGGTTGCCATCAGTCGGCTGCAATTTACCTAGTCCCAAAGTGTCAGCCATACACAAGATGAAGTAATTCATTTGCTATTAATTTGAACATTTTTGTTCCCCGCCTCAGAACATCTCGGTTTATCTACTTTGTCTGATAAACCAGGATGTAAACCAATGATTTATCATGTTAATGACCACACAAGGACCACCCACTTGCTTGTTCCAAAACACGTACTATTCCTTTAAACTTCCAAATTGTCGAGAAAACAGCCGAGACACCAACCATCAGCAGGTGTTTCTCTTTTTTTTCTAAACTTAGGTATCCATACATGAAGCGTGTCATGCACATTATCAGGAATATCGAAATGGTTAAAACCACATTCAGCCGTTGTTCATACTATTATTATCTACTCCCTCTGTTCCAAAATAACTGAATTTCCAGGTTTGTCCTAAGTCAAACTTCTTTTAAATTTGACCAAATCTATAGAAAGTATATTAACAACTAGAACACCAAATTAGTTTCACGAGATTGTTTATAAAATATAGTTTCGTACTCTGTGTATTTGTTGTTGTAGATCTTACCACATTACTCTATAGATAGAGTTGGTTAAACTTAAAACAAGTTTGACTTAGGACAAGCTGGTCACTTGTTTGCCGGGAAACAAGATACTAGTGTAACACTGCAGGAATCTGAAGAAAATTCCATGTAAAGCCTAATGACTACATCTCATACAATCATGCAGGTTCAAACCATTCTCACTAGCTTAAAACATTGTAAAAGGTCCCCTCATTGGTATCTGAAGTGACCATTTGCATAAACACCCCATGGCTTCTGCTGGACAATCAGCCTGAACCTATTTGAGTCCAACTGAGATCAACCATGCCAATGCATAACGGGGAACAATCCTCTAGAACTTAAAACTACCATTTTACACTAGCCAGAATCATGAGAAACAATGTAACGAGGCTAACAAAGCACCTGAACAAGAACAGGATACGATGCGACACTTAAAAAGGCAGCTCCGGTTCTCGACGTCAATCTTCCTCCAGGTTGATGGCCTTTCCAAATTTCCCGTAGAGGATCTCCTTCAGCTCGGCCATATGTGTGAGGATGGATTCCTTCTCTTCCTCCAGCCTCTCCAGCTTCTTGGCTGCATCCTCTTTCATCTGCTCTAGCTTAGCTTCCACATCATCCACTGGCATGTGGGCAAACACTTCCCCAATTTGGAAACGCACCACATCTTCATCAGACAAGATGAGTTCATTCCCAGCATCTTCAAGGTTTTCGTTTGCTTCCTGGTACATAGAGGGAAATGGCAAATGGCATTTAGCGTGTGGTGCTTTAAGCAACGGTTTGGTTTCAGGTGCAAATGCAGCATCTAAGATTCTATCAGAAATGAGCCCACTGTACAGTACAAAAATATTGGCAGCCAACTCTGGTAGCAGAAGATCAAAAAACTGGGAAGATGGCATTGCAAAGATTTAAGTTCTGAAAAATGCCACTGGATGTCTCAATGCCATGTCAGATCTATAAACAAACATGCCATTGTCACAGGCTCACAGCCAATGGAACTTCTCATAAATGTCAACTTTGCAGTCACATTGTTTTTATTTTCCAAATGAGTAAATATCCTTATTAGGCAATCTTTCATTGCCCATTTGCACATGCAAAACACTGGACTGCAGGTCAATTTGAGAGCAAGGTAAAAGCGTAAGTTATACTCCCTCTGTTCCATATAATTCTTGATGTGGTTTTACTTCAAATTGAACTAAAACCACGACAAGAATTATGGAACGGGAGGAGTACATAATAATAATTTCATAAGGCATACTGGATATTCAAATGCCTTGATGGCTAGATATCTAACGAATAGAATGGCCTTTCGGTGGCATTTCGAAGTCTACCACTCGTGCCATTATTTACATGGCACCTCCGAAGGAACATTAGATAGACCCAAGGCATTGATCAAAACAATTTTCTAACAGTTATTCCTATTTATCTAGAGGATGAGTTAGCAAAATCATGAGGAGCATAGTAACACATGTCAGGCCATGATGTCGCTGGAAAGTTCACAGACCTAAAAGGAATGACAAAATAAAATTTTCTGATGGATTAGAGGATCTCTCGAGACCTATTGGGTCATTGCTCAAAACTATGTGAAGCTTCCACAGCTGTATTAAAAAAACGAACCCTTGATTTGGGACTCTGTTCAACCAACTGTTGATAACAGGTGTATGAGACAGAAACAAAATATTTAGGCTCCAAATCCACAATGTTCAGTTTCGTGGATGTATTAGAGTTCATTCATATTATAAAAATAAATAAACATATGAAGCTAAACCAGGGGAGCTGGCAATGGTAAAAAAATAAGAAGACATAGGTAGGACTTCTTTTTGTAGTACACTGAATCGCCCTAGCTTCCCAATAAGGTTTAGTTCTTTGGTCAACACTTTGCAAATAATTAGGTACTATCCTTGGTTTTTAATGTTACTGTTCGTGGTTGCATAGTTGATAATCTACAAACATATAAATCTAACCTTAGCAAATTTCATCACCTGAACTATCGTAGCCATGAAAGCCCATCAAATGACTAAACCAGATTGTGATGCCACACTGCAACGAAGGAAATAATCTAGAAGACATATAAAGGAGGAGCAATTCAGATGCAGCGAATCAAAGTTACAAACAACAGACCGCAAAGCATGCGTTTGCAAGTCCCTGGAATCATGTTATTAACTCTGTCCCCATAACCCCAAGAACCATGAGAGCCCCCTATACCATAGCCCTGGACCCTAGCGCCTCTTGCAAAGGGCAAAAGCCCTAATCTCGTAAGTATTTTCTCCCAATGGAATTGAACAATTCATAAGAACAAGAGCATCCGAGGAACAAAAGGGGGCGCCGAAGGGGAAAGAAACCTTGGCGAGCCTGATCTCGTCCGCGAGCTCGTGGAGGCGGTTGTTGAGGCGGCCGAACCGGTTGATGTTCTGCTGGTCGTCCCACGTCACCTGCGCCTCCGTGCCATCGCCCTGCAGGATTAATCCGCCCAACACCGCAAGAATCGCATCAGATCGGAAGCACGCACAAGAACAGATGGATCATCGACAGAAACAGCGCTCTCTTTATTTGCGATGAACAGAAACAGCCCCTGACCATGGGTAGATCTGGTCGGCCTACCCACCTGCTGCATCTCCGGCTTCCTTGGGGATTCGTCGGTCTCGGCCCGGGGTGAGATGCGCCGGCGGTCGCTGCTGGATTTCGGGCAGTAGGGGGCTGAGAGAGGACTGGAGAAAAGCGATGAAAGAGAGAGATGGAGAAATATGGGCCGTTGGATTTGCTTGTGATGGTACAGAAACACAAATGGACTGCAGCTAGGTTAGAGCATCCAAACCCCCCTCGTACGTCTCGAGCGCACTCCCACTCAGAAAAAACCCGACTTAGACGGATGCCTCAAACGGATCTCAAATATTCAGACTAACGGGCACCCCTCATATCCAGCCCAAATGTAGGGCGGATATGGGGAGGCTCGAGCGCACCCATCACATCGGAATGATGGTCGGGTCCCACACGGAATCGCCCAGAAATCCAACAGTCCGACAGGCGTCTCCTCCGGTGGGGGTGTGAATGTCGCATGGCGCCGCTCCGGCTAGCTGCCCAAGGCCAAAGTCCGGCTATTTAAGTTGGCTAGCGTCCTCAACCCTAGCCACAACCTCTTCCTCCCCCTCTGTGTCGCCAGCCCGAGCACATTTCTCTCCGTCTCCACCTCCCTCTTCCCTTGCCGTCCGACATGGCCCGACAAAAGAAGACCACCTATGCTGCTAACGTCGGAGCGCCGCTTCTAGATCGAGGAGGAGATACGGGCCAGGCGTGTTGCCTGCATCGCAGTCAGCCTGCCTCCAGACTAGCCGGAGCCGGAGGAGGAAGAGGAGCAATTGTCGGTTCTGATGGAGGATCCGGAGAAGGACGAGGCGGAAGAGTTGGTGCTGGTTGCGGGCTTCTGCATGGAGGACGCCATGGTGGAGTTCGTGGTCGCCCAAGCGACGAAGATGGCGGAGCAGCAGGCCATCCTGGAGCCCATCCAAGGTAAGGCGTATGTCAAGGCTAACCGGTGGTTCATCCGGTAGGAACGGGCGGCGACCGACGCACTTTTTGCCGAACTTGATGCGGAGGCGGAGGCCGATGCAGAACTGCCAGAGGACAAGAGTCGGAGTTGTGGTTGACGCCCATGTACCCGAAGCTAGACACAGAGATAGCGGACATCTCCGATGAGGATTATGAGGATTCAAATCCTTCCGAAATTCTTTGTTTGTGGATAAAGCAAAACCTAAGACCAAACTACGCTATAACAAGTGGGGATATGGCTTCTAGAATTGGGCTATTTGAAGTCTCAAATCCCATAATTTCTAGTAAACAAAAAAACAAATATTTATGTTCTACAGTCAAATTGGACGAAAATACAGTTCACGCGCGAAAATGTGGTCATAGTATATGGAGATTTTTGTGGTGGTGGCAACATGGACCTTATGAAAATTCGTTGATGTGACTTAAGAGGTGGAAATGATATCAGTGAAGGAAATATGTCCTAGAGGCAATAATAAAGTTATTATTTATTTCCTTATTTCATGATAAATGTTTATTATTCATGCTATAATTGTATTAACCGGAAACATAATACATGTGTGAATACATAGACAAACAGAGTGTCACTAGTATGCCTCTACTTGACTAGCTCGTTGATCGAAGATGGTTATGTTTCCTAGCCATAGACATGAGTTGTCATTTGATTAACGGGATCATATCATTAGGAGAATGATGTGATTGACTTGACCCATTCTGTTAGCTTAGCACTTGATCGTTTAGTTTGTTGCTATTGCTTTCTTCATGACATATACATGTTCCTATGACTATGAGATTATGCAACTCCCGTTTACCGGAGGAACACTTTGTGTGCTACCAAACGTCACAACGTAACTGGGTGATTATAAAGGTGCTCTACAGGTGTCTCCGAAGGTACTTGTTGGGTTGGCGTATTTCGAGATTAGGATTTGTCACTCCGATTGTCGGAGAGGTGTCTCTAGGCCCTCTCGGTAATGCACAACACTTAAAGCCTTGCAAGCATTGCAACTAATGAGTTAGTTGCGGGATGATGTGTTACGGAACGAGTAAAGAGACTTGCCGGTAATGAGATTGAACTAGGTATTGAGATACCGACGATCGAATATCGGGCAAGTAACATACCGATGACAAAGGGAACAACGTATGTTGTTATGCAGTTTGACCGATAAAGATCTTCGTAGAATATGTGGGAGCCAATATGAGCATCCAGGTTCCGCTATTGGTTATTAACCGGAGACGTGTCTCGGTCATGTCTACATTGTTCTCGAACTCGTAGGGTCCACACGCTTAAGGTTTCGATGACAGTTATATTATGAGTTTATGAGTTTTGATGTACCGAAGGAGTTCGGAGTCCCGGATGAGATCGGGGACATGACGAGGAGTCTCGAAATGGTCGAGACGTAAAGATCGATATATTGGACGACTATATTCGGACATCGGAAAAGTTCCGAGTGATTCGGGTATTTTTCGGAGTACCGGAGAGTTACGGGAATTCGCCGGGGAGTATATGGGCCTTATTGGGCCATACGGGAATAGAGGAGAGAGGCCAAAAGGAAGGAGGCGCGCTTCCCTCCTCTGGTCCGAATTGGACAAGGGGTGCAGCCCACTTTTCCTTGTTCCTCTCCCCCTCTTTCCTTCTCTCCTACTCCAGAGACACAACAGTTGATAATTGATCTCTTAGCCGTGTGCGGTGCCCCCCTCCACCATAGTCCTCGATAATATTGTAGTGGTGCTTAGGCGAAGCCCTGGGACAGTAGAACATCAAGATCGTCACCACACCGTCGTGCTGACGGAACTCTTCCCCGACATTCTGCTGGATCAGAGTCCGGGGATCGTCATCGAGTTGAACGTGTGCTAGAACTCGGAGGTGCCGTAGTTTCGGTGCTTGATCGGTCGGGCCGTGAAGACGTACGACTACATCAACCGCGTTGTGCTAACGCTTACGCTTTCGGTCTACGAGGGTACGTAGACAACACTCTCCCCTCTCGTTGCTATGCATCACCATGATCTTGCGTGTGCGTAGGAAATTTTTGAAATTGCTACGTTCCCCAACAATCAGGGCTATATGCTTCTTTGTGGTCAGAGGCAAAACTATGCACATCTCACATATCAAACAGGGTAGTGGTGAACCAACATGTGGTTGGATGGTTAGAGGGACTGTGGTATCCCCAGCCCATCAGGGTTCAAATCCTGGTACTCGCATTTATTTCTGGATTTATTTCAGGATTTTCGGCGATGCATATTCAGTGGGAGGAGACGTTCCCGTTGACGACGAGGTGCCTACAGTGACTTTGTAAATTTCAAGATGATATGTCGGCTCAGTCTTTCGGAGGTGCTCATAAGGGTAGGGTGTGTGTGTGCGCGTTTATAAGGTGTATATGAGCGCTTGTGTCTGTACTATGTTAAAAAAACAGGGTAGTGCTCACTTTTATGACGGCATTGAGTTAGGAATGCGGAGAAAAAAAATATTCAGCCGTTTTGTTGCTCATGCCCTAGACTTTTCTCAATGTATGGAAGAGGAAGGAGAAACATTTATACTCCCTAGTTATCAACTAGAGCAACGCTACACGGACGACAAAACTCGGACGATTCATGCACGACATGAGAATTCAGTCGTGCATGCATGTGTACAGCGCAGCAACGGCGGCTGGATTGGTAGTCGTCCTCACATCGTCCATCTTTTGTCGTCTGTATAGCAGTTTCGTATCAACTATTTTGAACGAAAAGAGTTAGCTAGATAACTTGTTTTATAGTGCAATTACTAGGGATCCAACGCCTATGCATTTCTGGTGATTGGTACTCTAATTATAATCACACTTATGTGCACGCTCGATTATCGAAGAAAAGAATGTGTGATTTCTGTTGTTGCCATACAATATCTACCGAGCTAGTGAACAATAATGTACAAAAGCATGGAGTATTTTTTTACAGAGGAAACATATATATTCATTGTTGCATATATTACAAATGTAACAAGTCTACTAATATATCATAATGAGATGAAATCGTTTCTCTCAATTGTCTCTTTTGCAGATGCATCACTTAGAAAAACATTGTCGTGAGTCGCTCTCGTTTCTTTTCATCGTCCTTAACGCCAAGCAAAAGGTTGGTAAACAACGTGAGAACATGTCACTATGCCTTGACCATCTAAACATGCGAACTTCGAATCATGATTGCAGTGTTCATATTGTGCTTGTTGCTCTTCCTCTCTTTAGAGAGAGTGAGAAGAGGGCAAGGCTGTCAGCGATGTGCTGGATTGCTGAGCCACCAACCTTGGAGCTCCAGCGGTCTAGCTCGCAATGGAGCCATGTCGATATTGCCTCTAGAGGCCTCCTACGTGGCTCTGGTGCTCCCGGTCTTCAACATGCTTGTGAGTAACAAGCAATGGTTGTTTCTAGGACGAGTATTGTATTTGATGTGGTGCATTTTTATTATTAGTATTTTACTTGCAGTGAGAATGGATTATTTGTGTGAGTCTCTTTTTGAGTTTATTGCAAGTGTTTTGTTTCTGTCACATTAAAGGTTAGTTTATGTTCCACACAACTAGTAAAACTGTTGCATAATTTTTTGTGTAATTGACATATATGTACTTTATTTTGTTGCATTAGTTTAGCTTTTTCCTGCACTCCGCTTCCATGCTATTGGTTTCCCTTGAACAATGCATAAACTATGCTATAGATTTCAACCATATATTCTGTTTTTACCACATGAATTACAACTTTGAGCCCCTGTCTGTTGTTTCCTGAAACCTCCATCCATGAGTACGGAGTACTTCATTGCCATGCATGAAACATTGACAAATTAATTCTTGCTTTCTCAGAAAGAAATAAAAGTAGCACATCTATATGATTCAGGATACTGCCCTCGAAAACAAACATGGTTCAGGATAAGAGTTGACTTGTCTGGCCTCTCGAGATACTGTAAAGCTAGGAAGACAAACATTGTACAATCCAACATAACACCAGTACCAATTCGACCTTACATCTTTATAACAGCATTTAATTCCATGCAGGTCTTCTTTAGGAGTACCCATTAAATACATGTCGTGCTACAACAAGTCATGACACAACCAAATGGCAATTTTCAATCCACTCATAGTCATAGTCACCTCTTACAATCAGAAGCATCAATGGTTGAGACCGTTCCCTCTCTTTATATCCAATCTAAAGATCATTTTTCATCTATCTTTGGTGTATAATAAATAAGAAAAAAATATGTCATAATGGAATCGAAGAACAATAACACCTACCAACATGAATGAATACATGAATATGTCGACGAGGGTTGGCTGTCGAGGAAGCCAGCCACATCGCGACGTTGTGTACCAACGGGGACTTCATCTTTCGACAACCTCTTCCATCGGCTCAGCAAATGGCTGGCTATGGCAGAAAAGACCCCACCTTTCAAAAGGAAATGGGTTGAATCATTACTGTGCACTCAAAGGTTCCATGGGCTTTGGCCGTCCATAATTTAGCACCATCACAAACTCTTCCGCGGGGGAGCCTACAATGGCCTGTGTTGCCTGTGCTGATCGCCCCCTCAGCCACAACTCTACTAAATTGCGCAGAGGTTGTGTAGGGTTCACTGGCTGCCCGCAGCAATTTATTTCCACCTGTAAATATGAAGATTAAGTACTATTCATATGAGCGAACATGACCAGTTGTGCTTACAGGGGCATGGCTTGTTCAAAAAAATTGGCCTGATATATCCTTGTGCAAAATGTTCTTGAGAGCCAGATGTTACATATATTTCTTATGAAAAAGATATAAGCAGCATGTAGGAGGAACTACATGTTCTTTTAGTAAGTAAGCACATGCCGCGAATTCAAACTATTAGGTGATGGGACTCTACATCCACTAACTGAGCTAGGCTTGGTTTACTATTATGAGAGTGAAAAATATAATATGCAGTGAAACTATTGCATGGTAATGTGTGATGAGCATATGAAAGCCGACAGTTTCAAAAAAAGTTCAAGCAAAGTTTCAAGTTTTATTATTGCTCGGCATATTTCATCAAAACACCTAGACGGCAGACTCAAGCTATATGAATTTTACTCCCCGTTATCAATATAACATGAATTTTGATAAGTGTGCTTTACTGTTCAAATGGCAAGAAGCGAACCATATTGGAGAACAGATAGCAGAAATGAGATCACTCTCCTACATCCAGACAAGAAAAGAAACTTATATTTCAAATCCCAGTCATTTATACAAAAAATATCCAGCTGTGCATAAAACAGTAATTTATGCATCATATATGGCACAGATGTTGCTCTTACCTCGGACTCACTTGGGAGACTGAGTTTCTGCACAAGGTACTTTTGGATAGATGAAGCAGGTATATTTGCATCTCTGATGTAAAACAGTTAGTGCATTAGCCACAGGGAACTCTCACAGGGATATAGTTGAGAAATAACACAAACGCATGCTTATGGTGCTGTTTAAAAGGTTAACATCTGATTTCAATGTGAAGCGATCAACATTTCAAGACATGGCGAAAAAAGGTTACTGAGGTTTGTCTTATTTATCATTTATCTACTGATAACCCAGCTTGTAAATTTAAACAAGACTTGTTAACGTCAGATTTACAAAAAACAGGGTAGAAATACAAGCTTACTTTATTCGCAAATAGTGTGAAGGTATCTGTGGTAGAGGCGAGTCTCCTTTCCTGACAAATATAGTGGCACAGGAAGATAAGATACAAACATGTACGAGTTGTTGCTTCTTCTGAATTTAAACAAAGTGATGCTATGACAGTGTGATAAACTGATTATGCTTACTGTTCGAGTGAGGCAACCAACGAAAACCATATGCAGTTGAATCTCTTTTCGTTCTGCATAAGTGCCCCATCAGGGTCCCCATCGGCTGCAGCTCGAAGTCCACTCCTTCTCCGCCCAGCCCCTTTAAATTTCCTTTTTAGCTTCACTGGTGGAACTGGAGCATCTTTCTTATCATCCTCAGTTTTGGGTCTCTTCGGATGCTCTTTTGGGTTTTTTATACCATTTGTGCTACTGGGAGAACCATTAAGCTGCTCTCTTTTAACACCTGAACCTTGTAAACTCGACCTAAAGGATTTTGTCCTGTTTGCAGCTTCGACCAAACAATTTAAAGGTCTCCAGAGCTCAGCATTATCTGCCATGTCCTTACTATCATCTTCAGTATCTTTATTGCTGGAATAGTTAGATGCCTCCTCCGCATTTGACAATATCTGGACAAAAAAGGTTCAAGTTACTGCAGAGGTGTACAGTCTTCTAGCTAATACCAATTGTTGTTTTGAGAACACGGTGCACATTCCACAGCTAACTCCAATGCAACTATTTTCTAAAAAAACTAACGCAACTAGCATGAAGATGCTAATGTGTCGTTTGTTTACCTGTCTCTTTGTTTTTGGCACTTTGCCCAAATTAGCAGGCAAGCTTGAGCTATGAGCACTCTTGTCACTGTTTTCCTTTTTCACAGGATTGTCAACGGTAGGACCAAGGCTGTGCAAGGCAGCAGCAGCTTTCCTGGTAACTACCTTTGTCCGCCGTCCAGTCGATCCTGTCGGTGTTAATCTAGGTGTATGGACCACTAATGAAGAGATGGATCTCTCTTTCCTTTTATTAGGAGGTGAATCAGGAGATGCAACATCTTCAGCCTTAATCTTCTTTCTTTTGAAGGGGAAGATTTTGGATCTTACATCTTGCAGACTGTGGTCAGCTCTGAATACAGGAAATGTGCAAATACAAGTATAAGGAATACATATATTAGAAGAAAAAAAATACTGTTAGGGTCTTTTTTAGAAACACTAAGTACAATGTAAGCACCCACACGCACACCACCACACACTCCCACAGCGGGTACTGCAGACTGGAATCACGGAACATCAAGATTGGCATACTATTAGGGTCTTTGCAAAACTATTTAGGTGTATATTATGGTAAATATAACAGCTTGTTTTAACAGGAAAACTATGAGTATGACAAACGGACTGTTTTCGCAGGCCATGAATGAACTTGACATCAACCAACACTTTCACAGGCTACCAATAGTCCAATATAGTCAAGTGAGAGGGAGAAAATCGGCATCAAAGCACTGAAAAAGACACCGCAGCAAAACAAGAAACAGAGCACGCTTTCTTTTAGAGTATTATGACAAGTGGGAATCTCTGTTTCAAATTACTTATCCCGAAGGGCCCAAGACCCAATCTTTATTCAGGTTGGAAGAGTTTAGGCACAAAAACCCTAGTCTGTATAAAAGGCAACAAGTGTAGCCAATCAGAAACACAACAGCCTACCGCTGAAATAGGCCCTTATGATTTCAAATTGCAGTATCATCAGCGTAGAAACTAGATAGCATACAACTGAAGCAAACAGTATTGGTGTATTACAGCATTCATATAAAGTTGTGGCTGTGTTGCCGACAATTCTAAGATGTGAGGGGCCTTAAAAATCTATGTGTTCACCGCATTTACGCAGATCGTTACTAAGTTCCAGGGCAGGTTGCAACATTTGTACACTTTATTCCAGTGTGTTACCTCCTATTGTGTTCAAACTTTGGTAGCAAAAAATTGAACTGAGCTAATGAGTTCTACATGTAGTACTAACTACTGCAAAGTTATTTTACGATAACAAAAATATCCAGAAAAGCTAACAATAAGGTGAAAACTGACAGTACCGCGCACAAAGTGGAAACAATGGAGTACATAGTCGTAAGCATAAGCATACCTGAGCTTCTCGACTGGAGTGCAGCCAAGATCAATGTCACATACTGGGCAGGACTCTACCTCCTCGTCATTAAACTTCTTGTATATACACTTTCTACAAACTGCATCAAATACAAAATTAGAGCTCTGAAATAATGAACAGAGTAAGATAAATTCAGTAACAAGTGAAGTAAATAGAGGAAACATAGCTTCCCACTACTGTTGTACACTCAGCTCAACAGTTAATGATAGGGTCAGACACCTATCTGTAGAACATACTCCCTCTGTAAAGAAATATAAGAGCGTTTATATTTCTTTACGGAGGAAGTACCGTGGAATAAACAATGAAAAGAAGCATCACGGTTACCCAGGAAAGAAGAAACAACAGAAATGCTGCAGAAGCAACTCCGAGATCGAGATCGAGATCGTATGGGGTGACAGTGTGATAACTTCCATGCTGAGTAGGCGTCAGTTATTTCTAGTTAGCCCCAGAATAGGCAGAGACGTAAGGTAATGAAACAGAGAGTCTAGATGGACGAATAGCAGAAGCATTTCAGGAGTGTCGACAATAAATAATGGCTAATCAAGTCTTGGTCATGAATGAGGCATCATGGCAAGCACTCAAACTGGGTGAAGGAGTGGCAGAGATCCTGGGCGCGGCAGGTTTAGGATTGGCATAGCATCCATGCAGATCGATGACCGACGAACAGAAGCAGAGGCCACGTAAAACAGAGCGGGCGACGACGACGACTCATGCGACGTGGGGTGGGAGGCAGGCCCTGCAAGCTGTAGTAAATTAAGCGAAATCCCAGCGCGCGCGAGGCGTCAACGCGCCGGAGCGGACGAGCGCCCACGTCCAGGGGCGACGGCCAGATCAGGGACGTACGCGCTGGATGCGCCGTACGCGCTGGCCAGATCAGGGACGTCGGGGAGAATCGTGGCGCGGCGGAGGCAGAGGAGGAGGGAGGGAGGCGGAAGGGGAGGAGAATTTGGTGGCTCACATGTGTGGAGGCACTCGGAGACGGTGGTGGCGTCGCGGAGGAGGCGGTTGCAGAGCGGGCACGTCATGCAGCGGGCGAGCAGCTCCCGCTTCACCATGACGAGGCCCCTGGGCGCGCCGGGCCGCCTCCCTCGCTTCCGCCCCCTGCCCCTCCTCTCCCCCTCCTCCTGCTCGTGCCCGTCCTTGGCCTCCTCCTCCTCCTCCTCCCGGTCCAGCGCCTCCTCCACCTCCGCGGGCGCGTCCTTGGCCTCCTCCGCATCCGGGTTGGGCTCGGGCGCCGCCTCCTCCGTGGGCATGGGGTCCGGCGGGGGCGGCGGGGTGTCGTCCTCGTCGTCCTGGCGCGGGCGCGGGGGCGGGGGCGGGGCGGGGTCCGGGTGTGGCTGCATGGCTGGCTAGCGGCGCATGGGTCGTCGATGGTCGTTGCGGGATGGTGGAAGGGAGGGGAGGAGAGATCGAGGGGGGCTGAGGGAGGCGGAGAAAGGATGCGTGGTGCGGTGCGAGGCCGAGAGCGACCAAGACAGGCAAAAGGGAGGGAGAAAAAGGAAAAAAAGAAAGCGGGGTTCGTTAACGTGTCGTCCCAGCTGGGCTGGCGCGTCGTCTATCGTTCGTGCTGCTCTCCTCGCCTCCGATTGTTCCGTCTTGCTGCTGAAGATTGGTGATAGTATGCGCTTTTTGTGCGGCCGATGTGGATGCGGATGCGATCTCGGTTCATGGTTGGTCTCTTCACGTACGCGCGTGCAAAAAACAGTGGGCAGCAGCGTGGTTTCTGTTCCGGGAAGGATGAAGAAGGACATGCTTTCCACACCTGACAAGTGCTCTCTGTTCTCTATCGACAGATAATCAGAGCTCTTTTTGGTCAGAGATTTGAGATGGGTTTGTTGGCTGGGTTTGGTGCTAATCACTGGGCACTGGTAGCGCCCCGCATGTTCGGGCTGCATGTTTTTTTTTTTGAGGGTTCGGGCTGCATGTTTAGAGTAGTAGTACTTTGTTCGCTGCTTTGCTTTAAGCCGGCTCTTAACTAGCCCCGAGAATTACATGCCAGATCGGGCAAAGAACCCTGGCTCTACTAGCTAGTAGTATCTATACATCCCTGGTTGAGTGGTTGTGGCTGGCGCAGTTCCGTTGCAAAACGTACGTACCCGCCTGTAGAAGATGGTATGGTCTGGCGGTGCCAGGCGCATTGTGCTCTGCTATTCCTGAGAACCTGCTGCTGCTGAATGCTGGTCGCCGAGAGAGAGGGCGAGAGGGCGACGGGGAGGGACGACAAGTCGTGCACTGCAATCTTATCACGAAAGCGTGAGGCGAACCTGCTGCCCCACCCCGGGTGGAACGGAACACGCGTGCCGTACGTATGCTGCCGGCCATGTACACTCGGTCGTGCTTCTGCTTTGTGAGAGTGAGCTACGTGAGCTGGCGCATAAGAGCGTCTATCAAATTCGGCCCTCAAACGTCCACGGAGACCGAAGCGGACAATCCTCGATTTATGTCCTTCGTATTTGTTTATCTCATATCTGATACACTATGTTCATACCAAGCATGCAAAGTGAATAAAAAGTACGTAGATCATCACGCCGACGCCGACGCCGGCCGCATTATGCCCTGCTATTCTGAGAACAAACTGCTTGATCCGAGAGAGAGGAGAGGGAGAGGGCGACGGGGAGGGAGGAGCAGGAAATGGTGCAATCTTATCACCAAGGGAAAGCGTGAGGTGAACCCAACCTGCTGCCCCACCCCGGGTGGAACGGAACACGCGCGTCGTATGCTGCCGGCCATATACCTACCTAGTAGCACACTCGTGCTTCTGCTCTTTGTCTTTGTGGTGAGTGAGGGACGATTAGCAGAGCAGAGCAGCGGAGGAGGAAGCCGGCGTCGCGCGCGTAGATTGACATGCCGGTGTTTGTTTCCTGGGAGGTCGCGCCTGCGGGCGGGTGTTTGGATGGTCGTGTGGGATGGGACGACGATTCGCGATGTGACCTGCGTTCTTGCGCGGAGAGGCTAAAATTTCGTGTTTTGATCATTTTCTCCAACCTATTTGAGATCTGACCCTAGTTTAAATTTCTTTTCGAGATTTGACCTTTTTACTACCGTCAAGGACCATGGCGGTATGGTATAACAGGCTACCGCCAAAAACCTTCTAAGTATTGAACACAGTGCGTGCTCGTGCCTACCGCCAAGCACTTTGGCAGTAGGGTTGTGCAGGCTACTGCCAGCCCGTTTGGCGGTAGCAATGTTTCCAACCGCCAAAGAATTCCAAGAAATTTTCAATTTATTCATTTTCAATCATGATAGTAAAAAAACAACAAAGGTAATAAAATTTACAACCGTGTCCGTGGAGCACCTAGCGACGACTACAAGCACTGAAGCGAGCCGAAGGTGCGCCGCCGTCATCGTCCCTCTCTTATCGGAGCCAGACAAAATTTGTTATGGTAGATGGTAGGGAATTTATCATGCTAAGCCCCATAGGACCAATGCACCAGAGCAGCAACCATCACAGATGAAGAAAGTCGTAGACCAGAAAGATCAAACTTGTAAACACTCAAACAAAGACGGACGAAAACCGGATCCAAACAGTGTTGGGGTTTCGTAGTAATTTCAAAAAAATTCCTACGCACACGCAAGATCATGGTGATGCATAGCAACGAGAGGGGGAGTATGATCTACATACCTAGTAGATCGACAATGGAAGCGTTTGGTTGATGTAGTCGTATGTCTCCACGGCCCGACCGATCAAGCACGAAACTACGGCACCTCCGAGTTTTAGCACACGTTCAGCTCGATGACGATCCCCGGACTCCGATCCAGCAAAGTGTCGGGGAAGAGTTCCGTCAGCACGACGGCGTGGTGACGATCTTGATGTACTACTGCTGCAGGGCTTCGCCTAAGCACCACTACAATATTATCAAGGACTATGGTGGCTGGGGGCGCCGCACACGGCTAAGGAATAGATCACGTGGATCAACTTGTGTGTCTCTGGGGTGCCCCTGCCTCCGTATATAAAGGACTAAAGGGGGAGGCTGGCCGGCCAAGGAGGGCGCGCCAGGAGAGTCCTACTCTCTCTGGGAGTAGGATTCCCCCCCTCCCCCCCCCCAATCCTAGTTGGAATAAGATTCGCGGAGGGGGAAAAGAGAGAGGGGGGCCGGCCACCTCTCCTTGTCCTAATAGGACTAGGGGAGGGGGGAGGCGCGCGGCCCATCTTGGGCTGCCCCTTCTCTTTTCCACTAAAGCCCACTAAGGCCCATATAGCTCCCGGGGGGGTCCGGTAACCTCCCGGTACTCCGGTAAAATCCCGATTTCACCCGGAACACTTTCGATATCCAAACATATGCTTCCAATATATTAATCTTTATGTCTCGATCATTTCGAGACTCCTCGTCATGTCCGTGATCACATCCGGGACTCCGAACAACCTTCGGTACATCAAAATGCATAAACTCATAATGTAACTGTCATCGTAACCTTAAGCGTGCGGACCCTACGGGTTCGAGAACAATGTAGACATGACCGAGACATGTCTCCGGTCAATAACCAACAGCGGGACCTGGATGCCCATATTGGCTCCTACATATTCACGAAGATCTTTATTGGTCAGACTGCATGACAACATACGTTGTTCCCTTTGTCATCAATATGTTACTTGCCCGAGATTCGATCGTCGGTATTCCAAATACCTAGTTCAATCTCATTACTGGCAAGTCTTTTTACTCGTTCTGTAATACATCATTCCGCAACTAACTCATTAGTTGCAATGCTTGCAAGGCTTAAGTGATGTGCATTACCGAGAGGGCCCAGAGATACCTCTCCGACAATCGGAGTGACAAAACCTAATCTCGAAATACGACAACCCAACATGTACCTTTGGAGACACCTGTAGTACTCCTTTATAATCACCCAGTTACGTTGTGACGTTTGGTAGCACCCAAAGTGTTCCTCCGGTAAACGGGAGTTGCATAATCTCATAGTTATAGGAACATGTATAAGTCATGAAGAAAGCAATATCAACATACTAATCGATCGGGTGCTAAGCTAATGGAATGGGTCATGTCAATCAGATCATTCACTTAATGATGTGATCTCGTTAATCAAATAACAACTCATCGTTCATGGTCAGGAAACATAACCATCTTTGATTAACGAGCTAGTCAAGTATAGGCATACTAGTGACACTTTGTTTGTCTATGTATTCACACATGTATTGTGTTTCCGGTTAATACAATTCTAGCATGAATAATAAACATTTATCATGATATAAGGAAATAAATAATAACTTTATTATTGCCTCTAGGGCATATTTCCTTCAAACAGATCCACCGAAGACCGAACGAGTCCCGCGAGATCCGACAAAGACACACCTCCACGTGTTTGACGATGCTAGATGCACCGTCGAGACAAGAGAACGTGGGAGACATTATTCCTACTAAGGGACATTATCGTCGTCACACAACGTCAACCAAGACACTGCACCTAACAAGAACAAGA